TTTTATTTAGTGTTTGTTTGCATATTATTGTAATAATATTTAAGTTTATTTCATCCAATCTGTTATTTATATATGTACCAAATTTACTGAAAGAAACCCAAAGATACCTCAAAGCAAAGGATATATCAGAAGACATAATAGAATTACCTATCAAAAGACAAGAGGATATTAGATCTACATTACAGAATTTACATAAAGTCTTTTCATTTACCAGAGCTCCACAATTCATCTTCAACTTACCACCACTCCCAGAAGTAACCTGGAACATACTATCTTAAAGAAAGATATCGATAAGTATAGCTACAAAGAAAACAACAAATAATACAACCACAAATTCAACTTAATCTACTTCCAAAAACAATATTTCTTATCTCTCAATCACTATCTACAATATTCAAGGTATGAATGTCAACCTAAAATTAAAACTATAGCTAAAATACTGCTCAAGCATGAATATAAATATTATATCAATAACAGAAACAAAACTAGCTATCTTTAAACTTACAAACTTAAATCTGACCAATCCTCTATACAAAATATACACTTCAAATTGCAATATTAAATCAGCAAATATCAGAGAATCAAGCATGGGTATAGCAATTGCCTTATCCTCTTTTTTATAACCTTACATTCACAATATTTTAACAGTACCTGGAATAGCAATTCTAATCAACTTATTTCTTCCATACCATAATTAGGTTAGACTGATTTCTGTTTATCTCCCATCTAATAATCTTTCCCTATCTAAACATATACAAGATATGATACTTAGCTGAATCAAACAAACACAGACAAAAACCATAAAACTAATTATTTTAGAAGACTTCAATAGCAATTTAAATAATTCAAAAAGCAAAAAATCTACACCTGTACTATACTACATGCAAAACTCTTACTTTATTAGCATACTAGAGTACTAAAACATCGATATACCTACATGGACTAGGCAAGATCAACACAGTCAAATAGATGATATTTGGATTAGCAGAGACTTAATACAACAATTCAAGTCATCTCTAATTATACCATCTTGTAGAATAACTAATAGTGACCACTCAATAATATATACAAAATAGGTTATTCAAAATACCTTTTGTTCTCTCCGTACAAAGAAAAGCAACAGAAAGATCTTTCAATACCAAAAGATGTCTAACGAAGACTAAAACAAATTTGCTACATATATAAATAACAGATTGGATGAAATAAACTTAAATATTATTACAATAATATGCAAACAAACACTAAATAAAA